GAATAAAGTTTTAGTTATCTACAGGGAGAGGAGCTAGGCTTGTTGAGTAAAATTTGTCTAGCCCTTTAGAACTGCTGAGCTCACATAGGTGGTAGATCAGCAACCTGAGAGAGAACAGATCTCAAGAAACAAGATTAAAAGGCAATAGCAGTGCAAGCAGAAAGCGCTAAATCACAGAAGTGATGTAGAGTCATCATTTAGAACAGTAACATTTAGTTAGTCTCTGTACCTGTTCAGTTCTCAGGCTTGCGGCTGGAGCTGGCAGCAGTCATCACATGGTCCCTTCAGGACAAGACTAAAACCACTATTCCATTTCAGATGTATCACCAAATAGCAGTTATGTGGTATCATTGCATCAGATTATACTCAGTAACCCAGAAATGAAAGCGTCCCTGTCTCTTAATATATTCCCTGTTCAATTGCTCAATGTTTCTTTAAAATTAACACATAAAATGGGCATAATGATATGACATGTATTTCTAGCATTACTAATACATGTGATCCTCCTCAGTTGCATGCTAAAGACATGGGCTATAAATGACTGTGCATGTGAATGTATATACACGTATATATACACGGATATATATTTCAGTTAACGTGGAGACAGAACTGCAAACTGGATTGAGAGTTATCATTGGTTTGCAGAGCTTGGAGTGGATAGAGCCAGCTTGCAAAATTGTACTCTCAGTCATTGAAGTACACGAAGTACTTTTTGTTTGTTTGTTTTTCAAGTTTGATGGACATGTGTGGTATTAATCATAGTGACTGTCTGGGACAGTAGTTCTTGCGTAGGGGCTGGTAAATTTTTGTTAACAATTTGGCAAGGCTGGAACATATTCACAAGAAGTTTTATCATCTGTGACAAATATCTGGATAATATTTTTCATTTTAGAAGTAATCCAAGTATGATTCAGGTCAAAGCTACCACCATAAGATAAGCATTGTCTACATGTTATTTAACTGTTTCAAAACGTCATGAAGGCAAGAATACAACAAAACAGAAATTGCCTGCCACCCTCCAGCAATTGGTTGCGTGCACTGTGCTGACTACAGCAGTAGAAGGTGGCCTTTCACATGTTTTTGAGACTGACATACATCACTGCATTTATGGCATTTTGTGATTCTTTTTTGCCTTTCCCATTAATGAGTGGTAGGCCACACAGTACCACATGTGCTGGGCTCACTACAAGATGCTGCACTGCACCCTCCTCAGATGTACTGAGCATTATCTACTGCATCTGTGAAATTTGGGAAAACATGAAAAACAGGGACAAGAATTTTATGTTTTACTCCCTTGTGGATTCCACTCAAGATGTCTTTCTCAGGTAATGTCACATGAGCAAACAACCCAAACACAGAGGGAATGGAGATAAGCACAAAGCAAACTCTGTCTTTGAACTGTGGGGAAAGCAGGAATTGAACCAATGATCTCCCTTGCTCCTTCTGTAAGGATATATGAGCAGGGCAGCTATATCCATTAGAATGCATGTATTTCTTCCCTGCCAGCCTATCTGAAGCAACTCCCGATGGAAATCCCATAGAATTGTTGGTCATTGTACCAAGAGTGAAAAAAAAAACACCCTAATAGCTGTCCTTAGCTGCCATTCTACACTGAGGAGGAACGCACTTGTGAATGGTCCTTAGCAATATGATCTAAGAGCTCCAAGTGAAGAACCTTTACTTCTGACAACTGAGACAGGGCTGCATGGCTTGTGCTCCTTGTCCAAGAGGTTGGGAGGGGTAGCAGAAGAAAAACCCATCCCTAACTCAGGGGTAGTCCTCGGGAACTCAGCAAGCTGGAGCTCACTCATCTGCCTTTCTCTTACATGCGTTACACACATGTAGAGAAGAATGAAGCCAGCAGCTTTGTGGCTGGGAACTGGTGTTTAATGCGGTCTGAAAAATGTGGAGAGGTCTATCATTATCCTGTCCCCTGCCTAGCAGTTAATTCTGCTCCTGCCCCCTCTTAACTCCCCAATTAATCCTTTGGCCTTAGTCCCAACATCAACCCTGCCCCAATTCTTTTTAAAACTCTTAAAATTGTAAAAAGAAGCAAGAAAGTAGGGAGAGCTACAGAAGAGCTGTGAGCTCCTGCAGCCTTCCATTGACTAATGACATGGGAGGAATGGTGCTTTACGGAAGTTCTCAATCACATCTGTGTCCTGATGTATTTTAAGCCTTTCTTGTCGATCAAAACTCAGAAATGAGGCAAAAGGTGTACTTTGGATGAGGAATCAGACCAGGCTGGGAGCAAACCACAACAGGGTTTGATTTTATGGTAGCTCAGACACCTCATGAGTTATCCTTGATGAGTAGAAGTTGTGTGAGTTGCAGTGCTGAGAACATAGTGTGCCAAGACACGCTGCTTCAGGTCTGTCAGTTCAATGCAGTGTTTTACTTATTTGTTAGATCAGACACTGAAGAACTGGGTTTGATTTTAAGATCTTTAGGACCTAGCCCACCTAGTTGTTTGTACCATGCATACTTCAGTGGAATCTGATTTGAGCCTCAAGGTGTACTATTAAACAAATCAGTAACGCAAGAGTCAGTATTACAATTGTGTTGATGTGGAAGACATTGGAAGATGTTTATTTTCTATCCCTGACTAGTGTCCCATGGTTCTTAATAATATTCCAAGTTGTCATCTTTGCTCTGGAAACATAAGGACAAACCTTGCATGTACATTATTTTTGTGTCTCCTGCCCACCTCCGTTAAATGTCTCTGCATTCCCTTCCTCAGAGAGATTTTAATCTGCCTGCAAAAGGTAACAGAATGTCATTGTTTTGTTGCAGCCAGTTGAAATAGTCAGAACAGTTCTTCAATAAATGCATCCAAAAAAGAGAAAAAAGGTGTGATTGGGTTGGCCCTCACTAGCAGCCAGTCTCCCACCCAGCTGCTCACTCACCCCCCCGCCCCCAGCAGGACAAGAAAAGAGGAAAAACAGGAAAGGGAAAGCTTGTGAGTCAAGGTAAAGACAAGGAGGTTGCTTACCAATTACTGTTGCAGGCAAAACAGACTCAAACCAGGGAAATTAATTTATTGCCAATTAGAATAAATCATTACTGATTTGGGTAGTGGGAAACAAAACAAGAAAAACGAACGTTTACACACTTAGAGAAAACACTTTTCCTCCACCTTTCCCAGGTTCAAGTTCACTCCAAGCACTTCTTTTGCCCTCCTTGTTATCGCCACAGGTTACGCTTAGCCCCTTCGGTGAGTGAGGCACTGGGCATTCCCTTCTTCCTTCTCAGTCTTCCTCTGCTGCAGTGTGGGTCCTCCATGGGCTGCAGGGAATATCTGCTCCACTACAGAGCACCTTCTGCTCTTCAGCCTCCTGGACCTCCTCCTCCTCTGGCCTTGGTGTTCCCTCTGTTGGTTTTCACTCTTTTTATTCCCTTCTCCTATGTCTGGCTTTCTTTGCTCTTTCTTAAATATATTTGCCTGAGGTGCCACCATTTTGGCTGCAGGGCTCAGCTGTGCCCTGCAGTGCGTCGGTTGGAGCTGGCTGTGTCCAGCATGGGGCAGCCCCAGCCCCTCCTCACAGAGGCCATCACTACAGCCTCCCTGCTGCCAGCACCTTGCCACTTATACCCAAAACACAAGGTGTGACCTCCTCTGTAACTAAGTGGAGAGAAGCTGTCCCATTCAAGAACAGCAGTGGTCTTTTGTAGATATCTCACCTGATCAGCAGAGTGATCAGATCACTGCAGAGAGCATGGCTGAGGAGAACCACCAGAGGGTCACGATGGAAGAAGAGGAAACCACTCAAAGGCAGTGGAAACACTTGAGCTGTTGGGAGGGAAGGGGCTGAGCAGGCAAATTTCCACTGGTATTGGAGAGCGGGCTGCAACTGAAGCTGGTGGGAGAAACATCTAAAACCACTCAAGACCCCTACTTTCTCATTGCATCAGCCTAAACCACAGCCTAATGCCTGGCAGGAGCACAACTCTCAGGTTTTGAATTACAGGGTGAGCCGGGGACTGCTGGACTGGTCTGCAGCAATGACTGTGGCTACCTTGTAGGCCCTCTTTGAGAACTGGGTCCAGCTGGAAGTTCTCAGCTACAGAGCAGGACCAAAGCCCCTGGACAAGGACTCCCCATGCCGATATAGCTGTGTGTGAAGCAGAACTGCAGTACAAAAAGGCATAAATGTATGAAATACAGTAACACCTGCAGAGGTGCATAATGTCCAAGGTCACTGGATGACTTTAACTGCAACTAGAGGAAGTAATAAGAGGGCAGAAAGAGGACATGAGGGAAGACCAAGGAATGCTGCAGTTTTCTCTGAAGCCACATACAGAAAATGCTGCCACAGGAAGTGTGTTTAGGAGGACTAGCGAGGACAGGACACCAACTTGCCTGAAATAGCAGTGTTGAAGTACAGAATTAGAAGAGGAAGGAGGAGCAAAGAAGGAAGGGGAGCAATAGTCCAAGTTCTATCAACTTTTTTCAGTCCATCTAATTTCAGCATAGGCTTATAAAAAAAAAAAAAACCAAGACAAAACCTCCAGGGGATTCTTCCATCTGGGAATTCAAGCTTTGAAGCAAAATCTGCTTTTCTGTCTTTAGCAGATCTCTGCTGTCCCACTTCTTTCTCCCATTCTAATGTTTAATTGGCTTCGGCACAGATGATCTATTGCTAGTTCTCTGTCAGGCCCTTGCCAGTAACTCCATGGGGTCTGAGCTTCCTCCAGTCATCTCATGCTCCTATTTAAAATATTTTCTCCTGCTCCTATTTAAAATATTTTAACTGGAAAGCTTAGATAACCGCATTTCAGAGACTACCATTTTGCAACAAAATTCCATCTGGTCAACATTAGGTCCACTAACCATGGTTGGAGTGAAAAATCTTGCCTTCATGTTGAGTCTGTACAGCTTCAGTTAAACGTGATTTGGAGTGGGATAACTTGCTACTAATGAGCATCAGCACTGACAGCAGGAAAACTAGCTTTTAAGAATCCAAATTTCAAAGCACACTTGTTGGCAGTCTGGTACTCACTTTCTGCTTCTTGGGAAGATTTGAGTTTTTCTCCAAAATTGCACTACTCTTTGGAGAAATGGTGGATTTTTCAGAATTTCCAGGCTTTGGAAAGGACGTAGATGAAGCACCTGTATATGAAAAGAAAATTAAAATTACGGGAAAATGAATGGTTTTAATATTGTGTACTGCTATTGGTAGCCCTACTTCTAAATTGAGTTATTTAATGAACAAACAGGTCATAATATCCTTGGGGAAGACCTAAGAGGATATACCCAGCTGACACAAGGTTGACGCAATGCCTCTTACGTCCCCCAAAAATAGGATTACCGTGCCACTGTGCAGAATGAAGAAATGGCCATATTCCTCTCTGCAGCAGGACCTGTGCAGTAAGGACAATGCTGATACCCTAGAACTTTCACTTTCCCTTTCCTAGAAAGCTTATCAGTCACAAGTACAGTGCAGAGAGCAACTCCTCTGCAGGCAGCGTAAGAGAGGCAGCGGTTTAAGTACACAGCTCCAAAGGAGAGCAAACAAAGCCCTTACACTGAGAGAATTTCACCTAAGCTATAAGCTTGTCCTCCTAAACTACAGAGTTAACAGGTTAACAACCTGTAAGGAATGATGATGAGTTTTTCTCCAGATCTTCTTGCATTTTAAGGAGTATTCTCTCCTGCTCCAAGGCTTCTATGTACTTGGAATAGGACCAGGAAGCCTGCAAGAACCATTAAAAACCATCAGCCTCCAGACTATATCACTAGTAGTTCCTGGTCCATTTCAACAGTGAGACCAAAAATTGCTTATGTTATATCCCTGTTATTGAATAATCATAATTATTAAGAAGAGAAGTTTTGTCATGACAATACTGGAATCATGGGAAAAATAGTATTGCTGCAAATAAGCAAATCTCAAAACACCATGAAATGCAATTTAAGCAGGTTTGACAGATATGATGTTTACATTCATTTATTCTCCATCCTTGTCTGAGTCCTATTGTCTCTTCTTTTGTTTTCAAAACCAAAACACAGCAGACCTTTTCCCTCCCAAAATATTGGTCTTTTGTGCTATCAAAGACTTGATTTTATCTCCCTGCCACATCCTCCCAGCATGTCCTTTCTGAAATCATTGAAGGTCTCATCAGCCTTACAGTTCTTTCTGCCTACATTCTCTAGCACAATGCTGCTACCGCTAGAGGCAGATCAACTGGACATGTCATCCTTTCCTTTTCTAAGGAACAAATGTTGCTCTTTACATTGCAACAACCACAGTTCGGGTTCCATGTGAATTTTAGGTCACTCTCCCAAATCAGTATGGGAGCTGTACTTTTATTTGGGCTTTTTTTTTTCCTTACAGCATGAGAAGTTTGGGGCCAATTTGTCATGTCATGACTCAGTAAGATCTTCTAGCATCTTCCTATAGCAGAAAGAAGCTTGGGAAAGAAACTGCTCTATAAAAGATTATTGCTCTTTCTGCAATTACCTGCCTCTTCTTGAGGGCTTAGGCATATGATATTGGTATATTGGCTCACTCAACTTACTCTTTTTTTTTTATTAATAGGTATGAGCAAAGGTAAAAAGGTCCATTTAAGGGATAAGAGTGTGAGCTTACCTATGCAGTTTGCACTGTGGTTTCAGATTTTGCGGATATTTCAGACTGCCTGTTGCTATATTCTGCTCATCACTAACGTAATGCCACGGGAAGAGCTCTATGGAACACAAGCAGTGGCTGAAGTGCAATTTACTTCTGCATCGCATGACAGAGCTGTGATTATGTGCTTGCACGGATGGTTGCACAGATTCCCCATTATGTTATGGAAATGCCAAGTCAGCTATTAACGATCCCATGATATGCCCAAGGTGGCATGTCCTTTCTTCCTGTTTCTCCAATAAAATGAATGTTACCTTTTCACTACAGATTTGATGCATCATGAGAGTTGTTCTAGAAGAAGTACTAAAGAGCTATTTTCTGTCAGATTTTCTATCCGAATACCTAAATGTCCTAAATGAGTTCAGCTTCAATTTTTGACATATGAGCAGAACAGAACTCAAGCCTAAACCAAATTCTTGCAGGATATGAATTCCACAAGTAATGAAAAGCTTCTTATTCCAGCATTGAACTTCCTTTTCTTCAATTTATTTTTAAAGAAAGATTCTTTTTAAATCTACACACCTAAAGGCCGTCATAAAATGTTAGATATTAATACTACTCAGAACATAAATCTTAAAAAAATTATTAAAGAAAGAAAAAAACATCACCTGTAAGGTAGATAAACTTATAACAGTGAAGTTAATTGTAGAAGAATGAACAGTTATTGAAGAACCACTTGACAGCAGTATTCAAAACCAAACTCAACCTTGCCGTTCTCCCAAGAGCATTTTATCTCTCTTGAATGATGATATCTGTAGCAACATGTATATTATTCACCTGCCACCCATATCCATCTGAAAATGATGCTGGTCCTCTCTCCACACCAATCGCATTGACCAAAGCACTGCTTGACAGACCGTTGAGTTTTGTCCCCGCTTCTTTACCCTGCCAATAATAAGAACTCTTAATTAGATGTAAACAATAATTACTGAGCTAAAGTAAAAATTGAAGTATGAGGAAGCAAAAATTGTCTTTGGAAATGACATGGTGTCATATGCAGTAATGTTTTGTAATGCCCAGTTTCATAATTCATCACTTTAGGCATAATAAAAAATAGCTGAAGATACTGCTTTTTTAAAGCATTTCTGTGTCCTAATTGGAGTTTCCTCACCGCTACACTCTTGCTGACTATCTTCCTTTCAGATTCAATACCTGCTCCAAAATATAGCTAAGTGAGAGGGCAGATCTGCAACAGAGCATATTTTAAGGACAGAGAGGCCTTTGTGATCCTCTAATTTGGCCTCAGGTATAAATGTAGAACGTAGGATTTGTCATGATTAATTCCAGCTTGGTCCAGTAGCTGTGAATGAACTACAGTGTACATGTTAGGAAAACAGACAATCTGATTTTTAAAAAAATCAGTTAAGGACAAGGCCTGTAGCTCTTGGTAAACTGCTCTGGTGATTAACTATTTGTCATTTTCATGTTGTTTTAGTGTTTTAGTAAGGCTGCACCTTTGCACGTTCTGACTGAGGATTCCGAAACTCTTTATGAACAATTGTCATATTTAACCTCACATAATTAACCCCACAACATCCCCATGAGGCGAGTAATATAACCCTCCCATGTTACAAATGAGAAAGGCAGGAAAAAAGAGAGGTCAAATGGTTCCCTAAGTCACTCAGAAAGTCCTTGAAAGATGTGAAAAGGATCAGAATATCCTACTTCCTTGCTCCCAAGGTGCCTTTTCTTTCCTCGTGATTCTCACTGTCCTGTGAACCCATAATCTATAAAGGTGACTTTTGGGTGTAGAACAGTGAGATGTTTATCTTCTCTCCAGAAGCAGGCTTACTAACTTCTGTGGCACACTCCATTGATAGAACAGGGATGCCAAAGCAAATACAGAAGTAGTGTGTATACTAATATACCACAGTTTATGTTTGCTAGCTTTCTCAATGAGAATGGTGAAGTAAGTGAGGTCTTTAATAATGTCTTCTCATAATAAATTACACAATGTTATGGTAATGTCATATCCCATGATATTACACCACTTACTAGCAAATAAGGTTACTGCTAAGAAGATTAAAGAGAGATGAGGGAAACAAGGAAAAGGAAAATCAATGCTTATGGTTTTACCTTTCTCTGCTAAAGCCATGGAAAGAGTAAGTACAGATTTACAGTATACTTTAAAACTGTTTTGTACACTTGAAAGCGAAAAATCCAAAATCTATTTTGGAGGTAAAATGCAATTATGTATACAACAAATTACAAATACTGGCATCAAAGCAGTCTGCAAAAAGTGAGTAATGATATTTTTTGAAGTGTGTGGCATGTGCACCTAACAGTTGACAAAGGAACAAATCCACAGACCGGCCAAAGCTGAGCCCATATAGCTGTGCCATGCTAAGGGCAAATACGTAAAAACAGAGAAGCAAACTATACTATCCAAAGGCAGTGTCTTTTAAAACAACTATTTCCGCTCAGTACTGGAGCAATCACGTTATATTGAATGTTCAAGCTTACTTCACCGTGTACCTGCCAATTCCTGCCTTCCAGACACTAAGCTTAAAAGAGGTCTCTGCTTTGTACAGTGCTTGTGCGGCATCCTTCGCCGTCAGCCCCTCTCCCCTGCACTGAGTCCATTGCCAGGAAGCTTTCAATAGGATTCACCCCATAAATAACAAATAGTCACACACAAAAAACATTGGCATAGTCAAATAATACCCTCATGCATCATTTTCCAGTGAAAACCTCCTTATCTGCCCATTTTTTCCATTATACTGAATAAAAGCCTAACCCAGTCAGTTCAGAGAGTGAGGTGAGCCCAGGTAGATTGGGCACCCTGGGGACAAATTTGTGAGAAGGGAGAAAGTAAGATTCCTCCCCCAGGACTACGATTGTTCCATTTGACATAAATCCAAAATAGCAACTGATTGGGGAGGAGGGTGGAGGGAATATATATAAGAAATAAATATAATTTCTAACCCTTGCCAGAGCTTTCCTCTCCTTCAACATGAGCCTGGTGGGGCAGAGGAGCACAGACATTAATTTAAATGCCAAGAAATCATCACCTTCTACAAGCTGCCAAGTGAACCTGCTATTGCTTATGTTGGATTAATCTTATCAGTATCCTTCAGGGATACTGAATCATTTGAATATTTATGTTGTCACTGAGGGGACAAAAATCTCAGGCAAGAGAACAGGGAATGGTAAATTCTTTAAACAATAATAGAGGGGGGGAAAGGGTTTCAAAAACATATGTGTTCCGCCTATTCTTTCAAAAGATTTTAAAAGGTAACGGTTTTACTGGTAATTTTTCGTGAGAAGAATAGTCTGCAAACCGTTTACTGAACTGCATTCTCTGCCTGTCACTGTCTAAAATTTCTTACCCTATTTCCCAGTTTAGAAGGGTAATTCACCTTTCCCATTTGTTCCCCATAAATGCTAGGCTTTTGCCCTCCCGGCCAAGATTTGCTCTTTAGTTCCTTGATCTTAATCAGAAATCTTATAGACAGGCAACAAACAGATGGAAAAAATAAGTCTGTGAAAACGCAGAAGTGCATTACTTTGAAATATTGCATTCTTCCACTATAAGTATTGCCAATGGCCTTGCCAGACATATCTGTATGGAGGCAACGTGCTTTGGAGAAAGGAACATGAGTTCTTGGATTTTAGACTTCACTTGACATTGGTGTGTGGCCTTGAGTAACGCTTCACTGGTCCTCAGTTTTCCTGTGTCTAAAAGAGGATAACAATGTGTACATGTTCTTACAGGCGTATATGTCTTTATCTGTGCAGGTACTCATGTGGTTCTCATCACAAGTAACATCTCAACACATGTGTACATGGTATTTAAAATATGTAAAGGTCTTTTAATGCTACTTATGATAGTTTGCAAGTCCAATAATTTCTCTGCCCTTAAAGGAATGTTCACTCCTCAAAGCTAGCCAAACAATTACATTTCGTAAAAAATAAACTTTTGCAAAGCCTATAATCAATAGAAAAAAAAAATCCATTATATTTTAATAATAAAATTCCAAGAAAAACAATTTTACAGGCAAGCATTCCGCTGTAGAGGTCACAGTTCTGTTAATGCACTGAAACTGTCTGGAAACTCATTGTGAACAGTCTAACAATTTCACTGTCAAAGCTGAGAAATTTCAAGAAAAGACAGACTATACAAAGCAATTAGCACATAAATATTATTTATAAATAATGTGCTGACTTTTCAAATGCTCCTTCTGAAAAACAGATATGAAATCTGGTTTGGTTTGGTTTGGTTTGGTTTTCTTTCAGTAGTGATCCAGGACTGTAAATTCTAAAATAAGACAGTACATAATGAAAGTCCAAACAGGTCTGCAGTTACCCATTGTACACAGGGACCGTACATAGATCTATTTTTTTTAATTCAGCCCTGTTTTTCACTCTTCTTTTGGCACGAAAGATGACTAAAATACATTTTTCCCTCTGCTTAATGAAAGGAGTATTCCATTGACTCATCTGCTTCAAGTTAAACATATGTATATGCATTGGCAGGATTGGGGACTAATTGTCCTAGGACTGGGTAGCATGTAAAGCTTGAATTCTAACAAAAGATTTCGGTAGCTTTGGATCACTCTGAGAAAGGGATATTTGAATTCATGTCTGTTTGCTCATGAAGGAGTTTTTATGCAGTTCATCAGCTGCCACCTGAAACTTTGTGAGCCTTACCTCTGCTGTTTTGCCTTCCTTCTTTCGCATTTTTTTTCCCTTTTTTCTCTCCAAGGCAAGTAGAATTTTGTCACTAGCCAAATTGCTTCGAAACTTACAAAATTTTGGCCAAAATTTAAACAGAAGAGCAAAAATAGTCATCTGCACAGAAAGAAAAGGAAGTCAATCTTGACCATATTAAGAAAACAGAGTTTACTGTAAAATAAAATGTAGTTTACCGTGAGAATGAAATAACTATTTCTTTTTGAATACACAGCCTTGTTCCTCCCACGTACTGTGTCCTGACATTTCAGCCCAGCTTTGCTCGGCACATGCTTTTCATCAGTGTGTTTATTACTGGTGAGAAATCTTCCTAAAACACAGTTAAAAGGCACTTTCTTTTTTTTTATATTTCCCTAAACAATTGTTTGCATTAATGAAAACATCCATCATTCTTTACAAGTATTCCTGATAAAATATACACCAGTAGAATTGCTTTTGCACCACTGTTCTGCTCAAGTATTTCAAATATTCAGTTCATTAGGGAGAGGGGTTTTTTTTCCCTCCTTAAGAGAAAGGAAATACTTTTTTGCCTCTGGAAAGGCTCTTAAACCACATTACAGATCTATGAGCAAATCTCGGATAATTTTTAAATGATATAATCTCTCACAGGGTCTTTTTTGAACTAGAATAAGAAAAACAATTTTAGAAAAGCAAACAGAGGGGCTCAGTGAATTCTGTTGCTGCACGTACTAAGGTTCACATTTTTCGATTTAGATGTTTAATTCTCATTGAGAAACTTGGCTTCAAAGGAGCCGAGCATGCTCAGCACCTCACTGCTTCTGGCTCAACAGACTTGAAAGTGACATGTGAGTCACTGTCATGTTCCCGTCACAGCTTTTTGGCCAAGTTCTTCCTTTGGTTTTGTGCCACATTTCTGGAGTTCACTGGGTTTTACACAGGCTGAAATGAGACTTCTTATTTCTCTTAGGACCTTTATGAACCCTTTTCTCTGACAAACTATTCATCTTTTGTGATCCAAACATTTTATGGACTCACAGTTGATGTTAAAAGGTGTTGGTGGCTATTTTATAGGAAAAGAAGAGGAATTAGTTTTCTTGGGTTTAGAAAATAAATCAGAGAAGAGAGTAATGAGGAATAAGAAAATAGTAAGTCTGTAGTAAAGGTTCACAAATTGCTGTTTGGTCTGATTAGTACAAAGATGAAAGAGAAAATTTCCTACAGCCATTTAATACAGACTTTCTGTAATAAAGAACGGAAAGACATTCATTAAGTTAAGCTGTCTTTGTGCTTTACTCATATCTGCATTTTTTTCATAAACTACAAAACCTACAAAATTTCTAACTACGAATTACTTCTTTGACATTAACCAAGTGGTAAAGAGCAAGCAATTAAAAAAATAGACGGAATTCACTTCTACTGCCACAATTACTAACCCAGATCTGGATAACACCTTTGCAGGATCAGCTAGCTGTCAGAGATTGTCCGGCTTACTGAGCAGCAAATATCTGAATCCCCTCTGTCATCTCCACCATACAGTCTTCATTGAAATGCATGACTATAGTGTTCTCCTGCATGCCCAGGTTTATGTATGGAGTCCAAATTGTCACATAAGCAACAAAGACTGTCCTTAAAATCAGGTACACAGACTCTAGCCAGATCTGTTACAGTGGTTCTCACAGCTTCTTACCTGTGCTTCTCTAAAAATGTAAGGTCCTAGTTCTTTCCTGCGCTCCAGAATCTTCTTTGCTTGTTCAGCTGGGATGTCAATCTGCAAAGCTGGGGGTATGGTGGAATTAATAAAGCAGTCGATAATAGCTGTGATCTTTTTCTGGACTGTGGCATCATCACAATGAGAATGGCATAAGTCCTGAAAGACGAAAAATAGCATTTTCAGTCAATGGAGAGAGAGAAGCAGACCCTTTACAGGGGCCCAGTGATCAAAGAGTAATAGTCATACAAAAATAATTATACAATAGATTTCTTCAGTATGTAGGACAAAATTCATATAGCAAATGTGCACAGTCAAGACATAGTTAAGACATGAGTGGGACTTCTGGTTTGCAAATGCAGATATATAGCAATCATTGCTTTTAGGTGATAATTTCTGCCTGCACGTTCTGACGGAACAGGATAGTTTTTATCCTGCATTTAGTCTAAGTACATTACTGGCAAATAGGAGGCATTTCTGAAAAGAGAAACGCCTACAAGCATGAAATGCACTGATTTTCACAATAAGCCTGCTATGACTGGCATAGAAATGGTAACTAAAAAAACAAAGAAATGCTCTAAATACTCCAAGAGGGGAATTATTTAGAGGGTACAAGATATAACCAGGAATGTTGGCACAAGAGGGGACAGTTTCAGCTACCAGTACAATCTTCCATTCATTGAAATCTTCTAGTTTCCCCATTCATTAAGATTTTCTAGTTTCCCAAAAGCTCAGTGTTTGAAATAACTGTCCAGAACAGAATACAAAACAAACCTAACGTTACAAGGCTGAGATCTCAAAGAAACATTGGGAGTTTTCTACTTTTTTAATGTGATCCCATTGTTCTTGTAAAACCTATTATTACCGTGTTTTCACACTCTGATACTACCGTTTGACTTTGACAGGAAGGAAAAATAATACAAAGAACTTCCTTCAAACACTTTGAAACACAAACTTTCCATCTATCCATAAACATCAAGAAATTTCTGTAACACTAGGGGATTATCACACATATCTACTAAAGACACAATGAGCACTCTGGACGACTTTCAGGAAGAGAGCTCTCTAAATGAAGAATTTGCATTTAGTTTTGGTATAGGAGGCTAGGTATTTACTTTAGAAGAAATTAAAAACAGGGCTTTTAACCAGAAATGTGGTATGTGAAAAAGCTGGCTTGTTTTATTATGAATACTTTTGAGTTTTGTGAAGGAAAAAAAAGAATGATAACAGCTACAATGAGGAAAGTAAGGCAATATGAAAACATATTCAATATATCCTAAGAATATATTATGGCTTCCTTTGCTCATCTAGCATAGAAGAAAAGGCAGAGAGCTTAAAGGGGGGAAGGCAAACAAGCCATATTATATCAAGAGGGATGAGACGTGAGCATAGAGGAACAGATGGAAATGATCCACAGAGTTATATTTCTTCATATTTGTTTAAAAAAAATAAATTTGTTTTTTGATTGTCCCAAGATGTGCCGCCAGTCTGATGGGTTACGAGGAGCAATGCAGTCATTGACTCCTAAAGGGAGTTCTGTCTAAACTGATGGCATGATAGGGCTCAGACAATACAAGTATGCACTGTGCAAAGTGCTGCCCACGTCTTTGGCAATATTCTTCCAGTTCAGCCTGACCCACAATACTCCTACTGCTCCAGCCCTTTGCTTCTATAAAGAGCATCAACTGCCAACTCTGACAAATCACATGCACATAGAAATATGGTCAGATTGTACTTTTTCTTGATAAGAAGACAAATAAAATTAACATAAAAGAAGGAGAGGGGGTGGGACATAAAACAATGAAAGCTTTCTTAACAGAGGAGATCCACAAAGAAAACAGTCTAAACTACATCCACATTAATTTGCAGAAAGTTTCCATGTCCTCCACAATGTAGTGATGAAGAGTCACAAAGCTGAAAAAGCTTCAAATATTTTGAGAAGGATTTATGTCGGGGAACTTCAAGTGCCTTCGTGTCAAGTTTCTAGTCTAAGCTAGTCGCTCTGTAACCAAGAGAGAGACCGCAGCAGCCCCAGAGAGCATTTCAGCCGATGATTCCTTGCTTGGGGATCAGAGACTCTGTGAGGAGAGATCACCCCCTGGAAACAGAGGAGCTTCAACTACTAAAGCAGACCCCAAATTCAAATGCATAAAATTAAGCAGTGAAAATACACCCACATGCCTGCAGCAGGATCTCAAAGTGCTACTGCAGCATCAAGTGTGTTTACCTCCTAATTTCTGAGCGTGCTAACTAACCTCACGCTCGCTGCCTGCCATGTGCACACAGGCTATGTACAGGAGCCCAGTCTCCAGGCTCTGGACTCTGGTAGCACATTTGCATCAGCAATATCCCAGAGGCAAAAGGAGTGAGGAACAAGTGACAGAACCGTGGCACCCCTGCATTCAGTACAGGATGCTACTAGGAGGCTGCAGTGTGATGTAAAGCCTCACTCCAGAGTTTTCCCATTGTGTTTCACCCCACATAGCAGAAATTTCATGAAGGGAAAAAATTCTGCTATTTGGCAGAGAGGCAATCCCTTTTTGCTGAACTTCCCCATCACGTTTCACCTTGGCCACATCCTCAGCTGCAATCAAATGTGACTGTAGAGAGCACAGGGGAGCTGGGGTCTGTATTGTACATATAAGATTTTTGGGTAGATACTATCTTTACATCTGTACATTTGATTGAATTTAAAAGTTTTCTCTGATTTTTGAGGGATTACCAAATTCAGCAATAATCCCATTATTTAACAGTATGTAACTATAAAGACAGAATGAACATTTTAATGCTTGCATATTTTCTACTGCTCAACAGATGTATACCAAAATCTGGGAATTAGCTAGTTAGTAGTGTCCCTTTAGAGGCTCAGAAAAATGTTACAGTTTGAAGAAGCATAAAGAAATATAGGGATAATACATTCAAGTCATTGAAAATAGCTACCCTTAAGAAGTGAGGATTTTTATCGAAGAAAAAACATTTTAAACAGTGAAAGAGGTTTTACTATGAACAAGAAAATGCCTAGAGATATTCTTGTTAAAATTCTTGTAATATGCAGAAATAGATGCATTTGCTAACAAACTAAATGGTATTGCCCATTTTACCACCGTACCTTATACTTCTGTACCTCTTGCCAAAAGAGCACTCCATTCTCCAGTAGGTCTCCTTTCAGTGACACAAAGCGTTGAAACTGATTTGCTGTCACTGGATTCAACAGCGCTTTGCGGAAAGCAATTATTTCACTAGATGAAGAAACCCACTTATTGTCCACATGCTGTCAAAAGAAAAAATAAATGCACCAAATAAACTGTGTTTCAGAAAGCAATAACAAAGGCATCACTTAGCGTCAACTGTCTGATTCTTATCTTTGCACTGACCCTAACTTTCAGTAGTTTATGAGTTTATGACATGGATACAATAGAATGTAGCAAGGTTTCATTCCTTTCTTTCCTTCTTTTTTCTTTTTTTTTTTCCAGTTTGGTTTGGGCAACATTTTTTGGAAGACGTGATGGGAGAGGAAATGACTGACAATGATTTAGACCATATGACTACATACTATAAAGTATGGAAACAGCTATTGTTATTGATTGTGGCAACAGGCTACTTTTCTAGAGAACAGTTTGAGTTTTGTGCAAACAAACAACAAAGAAAAAGGAACAGACAAACCACATAGCTTAAAGTTGTAAAATGCTTCTGACAGGGATCTCACCAACAAAACGAGCTTTGAAATGTGTTGCCATGATCACCAACAGAAGCTGGAGAGTTTGCTCTCTGTGGAATATAGCTACCAATAATAAAATAGAATTTAAAGTCATCGAGACATTTTGGAAGTCCTCATGCTGCGAAGCACAGAGCGGTAGGCAGCCAGGAAAGGGTGGAGAAAGAAAGATGGTTATACAGGGACGGTTTGTTTGAAATGAAGTTCAGGCTGGTCTGCCTTCCTGAACAAACAGTTCTTGTGCTGTCACTAAGGAGCAAGCCAAACACCCCCGCTTTGTTATCAAATGGATGAATGAAAACTATCTTCTAACAGTGGTATAAAACTCTTGATGTCCTGGAGGGATGGAGTGCTGTTCAATGGTCAGCATGGGACAGAAACACTTCTAGTTGTCGCGGACAGTCCTGAAAATCTAACGATTCTAAGCTGAAGGTCTTTCTGCAGCTTCTCTTAAAAACAGGGGTTACACTTAGTGTCCTGCCGCAGAGTCTGCCAGGGGTGAGAGCCCACCCTTGAGAGGGGGTGGGTGGTGGCTGTCCACAGGGTCCTTTGGTTAAAATAAAGTCGGCTCAACTTAGACAGTAAGATGGCATCTTCTCAGCCCTCCTCCAATTCTCCAAACGTGTTCTATCCCCTGTGACCCGGATTTAGGCAACTTTGGGGAAAAATTATTTCTGGGCATATTCATGAAGGGAAGAACAAAACATTGTTCCTATCCCTATACTAATATACGAACATTACTTATTTTATGGGTCAACAACCTTGAAGCAGAACATGGACAATAACCATCTTCTTGACAAACAAAGGGAAAACTCGGTTAACAGAACCCACATGCACTTTGGATCTCTTTCGAGCTAATGGTTTGCATGGATAATTGGTGACCGGGTCTCCAGTTTGATTTCAACAGACAATAAAAGTTCAACTGAATAAATGTACACAACTTGTATGTTGGCAATCACAAAGAGTTCATTGCTCTTCAAGAGGAAAAAACTGGCAAACATCTGATGAAATGTATTATTACAAAGGTTTAAGATGTTTAAAAATGATATTATCTCAGTGCTGTAAGATTAAAATACAATTCTAAATGAAACAGATACTGTGAGATATGATTAAACCTGCCCACTCCACTGCATACTTCACATTCCCTTTTGTGTCTGCACGTAATCCACTCGCAATAATAAATAAACTAGCAGATGCTGGAATGAACAGCTTGTCCCAATAAGTCCACTGCATGAAAAATACAGATAAATGTGAATTAAAGGTACAATACCAGTTTAAGGAGGGTTAAGAGTGCTCCAAAACCCAGGACAAGAGAAATGTTTTTTTGAAGTATGACCTCTCCAGCCAGGAAGAGAGAGAAATTTACCGTGAACATCCAGCAGGGATCTAAATTCACCAGTAATGTGAGTAATCAGTCCACTGTAGCCAATACAATCATGCTTGCTTTTGACAGCATTACATTCAGGCCTCACACTGTCAGCAGGGAAATTGTGAAGGATGTGCAAGGTCTGAACAGAAAAGACAGTGAAACTGCAGACACAACAGACACAGTAAAGTTCACTTGCCTTCCACATCCTGGTTGTCTTCTCCTGTTTTTGGCATGGAAGATCTTCAGTTATGTCCCTTGTCTACGGTTGAACAAAAGATTATCATTGTATTTTTTAACTCTTCCTGTTTCATGTTCAGCCCTCTAATGATTGAGACCACAGTGGTAGAATAGTTGATATATCTTCATTTGGACCTTTAATTCTGAAACGTTGACCCACACTGAACACCATTGCTTGTTCAGCTGTTAATGAGCACATGCTCATTAAGACTGGGGAGTTAGAGAAGACAAGAGGCAATGGCAGTCAAATTGCGCTTTTCCACTGGTTTACCTTACCCATGATGTTCTGAGTGACCACTTATGTAGGGAACAGATTTTGGGCTATAACTTCTTTTTTTGTATGAAATGTTTTGAGTTCCTTTGGACAGCTGTATCAGAAACACAGTCTTGATCCTGCAGTTTCTTTGTAGCAAAAATACACCTCAAATCAAGGGCAGATTTTCTGAATAGGGACTACATAGCATGCCCACAGTGTTTGGTCACTGTGAAATATGAAGCCAAGTGGAGAATGTCATCTGGTTTCATTTCTTCTAAAATACGTTCTTCAAAGGACCTTTTCATCCTCTGAATTTGCAGTAAGAAATGGAAAAGAGCAGTCAGACATAAATGGAGTTAGGAAAAGACTAAAAGCTCATTAGAAGTATGCATTTCCTGTAAACTGTTTATTAGAGTCAAATAAAGCGTTTTCCAAACTGCATGGGCTAATCTCCCTGCCAGCACAGTGCAGCAGGTGCAAGAAGAGGCATGAGCTGGCTTCCAGACCTAGAAGCAACTTAGCCTTATCACATGGTTTTGTGCCACAGCTCGTAAAGGAAGCAGATTTCAGCTAAAAAAGGGCAGAGGGTTACAAAATTTTGTTGTAACATAATCATTATTAAAATTACAATTCGCCTTATCAGAACCTACGATTTTCAGATTGCTAGTGCTCTGGATCAATGAAAAGGATCCAGTTCAACTGCACTTGTGACAACCTTCTTGATGTTAAAAAGATCATTGAAAACAAGTTTTATGAATCAATGCAGACTACCTACGTGTCTGCTTGGTCAAACTGTCAAGTTTCCTTCTGCTATGACATTCGCATTTCAGAGCTTTTGTGGAAGCGCAAAAAAACAAGTCTTTTTGCACCTGTCACCAGCAGGATAATCTCCCTACACAGATGTCAGTCACAGAGGCACTCTCATAAAAGGCATATGTTTGCTCTGCCCATTCCCCAGTCTTTCTAATGATCTAGCAGGAGGTGAAAGGGTTCTCATTCCCAGTTTTCTGGCAACTTTCTGAAGTAACCAATTGAAAACAAGGCTTGTAGCAGTTAACCTCCCCACTCAACAGAATTTCACAAGTCCTGAAGTAATTTCTACAGGCACTGCAGCTCCAGATGGGAGAACAGGGACAGAGTAAGAGAGAGAGAGAGAGAATACAGCATGGGAAGCCCACTCATTTGCTTGTGTTCTTGTCTCCTTGGGCAAATCCTTTACACAAAGCAGCATTTCTTCTGTGTGCAAGTGTATGGCTAGGGTAGAATGGCATAGAGAGACTGCAGCACTACAGCAAAGATTAGTTTACTCCCCTGGCAGCCTGGCTGGCAGCAGAGCTAACACCAGCTCCTTCAGATTTAGGATCTAACAAAAATACTGTCAGCCAGACTAATCCTTCAGAGGAACTGCCTTCACAATTATCAAGCTAAATGCTTCAACCTGTACATGCTAGAGTGTCTTTCAATGTAAACTGAATGTGAGTTGTGGGCTGCTTTTCCTCTGAAGCATTTTATCCCAATGGTACATTATGAGCCAAACAAAAAACAATGCCTGGATGTGTTGCTGTTGTTAAAAAATTACCTTTGCTTGTCCCTCCGCCCCATGGTGCTCATCTGCCAGGAACAATGGCAGCCATTGTTTTTCTAATCTCTTCTGGACGCATTGCTGAATTTCTAGCAGAACCGCTGCCGAAAGTTGATCATGAAGGATTTGTCCCCATCCTCCACCTGAATGCATTAGCTAAGCAATCCAAATACAATAACACATGACATAAACTTTTGTGTATACCAAAAGTCCTTTATCTCTCTACATCCTTGATTTAGCAAATCATGAGCTTAACCGTAAGCAAAGCATTTAATGCATGCTTACCCAAGGCTCACATGTACTTTTCATAAAAGGGTACAGATTACATTTGTTCCTACCTATAATAGAATACAGACTCCAGCAAATAATATCCCAGCTTGACCGAGTAAATTTCCTAAGTATCAAGATATATCAGAGTACCACAGCTCAGACTTGCTGTCTGTGGCTTTACTGACTTACTAAAATAGAAAGCTGGAACAAGTCACTCTGCCTGAAAGCCATTTTTTACACGTTTTCTGAGATGTGTTGTGCATGCTCTGGCTGCAGCCTAAGATCAGGGTTTAAGAGAGGTATTCTGTAAGGACGGGAGAGAAAGAGCCTGAACAAGAAGGAGAGGGTCCCCACAACCGGAACAGATCCAGATTTCTGGCCAAAAATATAGGCAAGATTTGAGGAGAGAGCTTGGGGAAAAGCTGGAGTAAAGCTGCTTATGAACTTTTATCTCAGTCACATTCAGTGTGTTTGTTCTTTACGAACAGTTTTGTAACTGGTACCTGTTCTTGTTGTTCTCTGGTAGCTGGGCTGTTGGGTCCAAAGAAGTATTTTTTATTTAAGTACTTGTTTGTAATGTCCTTAGATTTTTCCTCCCTTTTTTCTTTATCCTCGTGGAGCATCTTTCTAAACTGTTCAATATCTAGCCAGCACATGAGATCCATGCTACAAACAAATTTAAACAGAATGTTATTACAATATTGAGTTAATTTCATCAACATTCTAGGGAGTTATTAGTTTAACCACAAGCCACTGAAGTGTTCAAGTCCTAAATACCAGGTCAGATTGGACTGAAATTTTATGTCATTTTTTCTTTGCTAGTACCATCTGGCAAAGTACCATGGCACTTGCTGAACAAGCAGATCAAAAACACATCTTCAGGATCTCATTTAGGGTCCTTTCTGGGGTACCCTTGAAAGGAGTAACCTTCTCAATGTGCTGCTGCTAAATCCAGCAGGGAGTGTGAACCAGAGCCACAGTGCAGAGCTCACAGAGAGAACGAAAAATGAAACAGATGAGAATTTGAAGCAGCGCTGAGGCTGTAAGCCACCGAGAGATGAGTCGACACCCTCTGTTCTGCCTCCTCGTTGTGTCGCCTGAGAAAGAAGCAGGGATGACAGCTGGGAACATCAGCACCAGAAATCACCCCCTTCCTACCCCATGTGACGTGCTAGAGCTTAAGTCAGTCTGCAGTCAAGCAGACAAAAACAATTTATGAAGAATTTTGTTTCTAGGGCCTTTTGTGGGCTGCTTTTTCATAAATTACCGATTCTACTAGTTATTTCATTATTCATAGTAAGTGACAAATAATCTCCATGTGCAACTCCTGATCTATATATTGTTCATAATCATTTGAGAGTATACTATCAATTTAAGTTTTCTTTAGTGGAAGATATATTGGTTTTAGTCCTTAAAAACAGGACAGAATAAGTGACATATGTACAATTTCAGTTTAATTTATATGACGGTTTTCTGATAGTATATTATTAGCTGAAGTTTTGTGAACATTTTAATGAGGGCATTCACTGTATTTGCAGCAGGAAATATGAAACATCAAATTCAGACAAATCTATTTCACTTTTCCATTCAGTTAATAACTGGCTTTTTCAAAGCATTAATCTATGAGTAAAACTTTCAAAAGCGTCCAACTGATTTAAGAACAGATGTCCCCCTTTCAAAAATCTTTTGAGACTCTTACAGACCTAAGTTCTATTGAGACTGAAATTCTTTCATTTGCTAGTTCATCACAACATGAATAAGTTCACTGAAATGCAAGCAATCCAAGTTACTGTGGTTTATAGAGTTACTCCTTGGCATCTGCCTATGACAACTGATCAAATATGTCCATCTTATTTAAAAAGCAAAATATATAATCTTAAAGTGTGTTAGGTTAAACCGTTTACAGTGGTGGCTTATAGTAGCATACTCTAATTTTTCATTGCAGCAGATCAGGAGCATGTACATAGTCAGTTAGTCTAGCAAGACTAACAAGTCATAACCCACTAACCCAGAGTAACACGAATTGTCCAGCAATTTTGTGCAAATATCCTATATATTTAACAAAATATTAATTAATGGAACTTTATTTAGTTTCTTACCAGAATTTGTGCCCAGGTACTCAGCAGCCTGTCCTTACTGAAACTTGGGTCACTTACAATTGGGCAATAACAGAACCATAAATATTGATGAAGAGACAAATGACATATTCGTTATTTTTTTCTGAAAATTTCCAGACCGCATTAGTTCTAGGATCCCTTCAGCTTATAGTACCATTAAACATCTTTACTGTAGCATGCCAGCTGGACTTCAGAGTTACTAGGGCTGGACCCAGCTCTAAAACACTGTTTTGTGAGACTTCTTCAAATGTTTTTCTTCATTATGAATTTTTACAAAAGAAAATTTCTCCATAAATTAAACATTTTCTGCCTGGCTCTATCACTTAAGATGGGACTATTCTGTGGTTAATAGAGAGGCAGCAAATCCCAGAAGCAATTCAGCATACCTATCCAGAATCCCAGCCTAGCCAGTGGCCTGTTCTCTAGCGATTCCTATTATTTCCCCAGTTAGAGAGGAACTCTACACCAGTCAACTCCAAAGTGGGGTGTGCACACCCCAGGGAGTGTTGCGAGATGATTCATTGGGGGCAGGAAGAAAATATTAGAACTTCAGTAGCACATGTATATAATTTATAAAAAAATAATTATACATGTCTTGAGGGTGCGTGTTCAAAAATTTTTTACTGATGGGGTGCACGATCAAAAAAGTTTGGACACCATTGCTCTAGACAGCTAACTCAGAAGTCACTTGACCATAGGCACCCACAGCATAAGAATCTCCATCTGAACTCATTACCTACAGTCTTTTCATGCTCAGTGAGAAGAAATAGCCATCTTTAGGAATGATCCATCCAAACTGGTTTTAGATGTTATGTTCAGAATTAGAAGAATTGTGTGCAGAAGTGTGTATTTCTCTCTCTGACTACAAAGGGAACCTATGATGATAAGCAGAAGTGATGACACTGAGTCTTGGCCAGAGAAATCCTGTGCTAGATGTCCACCTCTGGACTCTTGAAAAAGCTGACAAATACCCAATCGAAAATGATAACAGTGCCTGACTAGAAGCAATAGGCAATACGCAAAGCATCAGCTCATGGGAACCCAGTTTAAAGGGGGGAAGTGACAATTTAAGGACTTGCTAGCAGTTACTTTAAAAGCATATTTGCCTTTTCTTAAAAACAGTATAGAGATTAGTGTGGGGCTTGGGAAAAAAAAAAAGAAAAAGAAGGTGGCAAACTCACATTTACTTCTGCTAGAACTTCTGTTTAGATCTTCATTTTTAAACAAATGGGCTCACTTTTTCAAAAACCCTGCATAAACTGTATCTGCTATGAGCTGGTACTTAATTCTGTTCAGATCAGTGCAAACCCAAAACTGTGGTTGCTCTCACACTGTGAGAACAATGTGGCTGTGTTCTATTTGTACATTTTTATAACATCCAGCTTTAATTTTTAAAATGTACTAAATTGAATCTGTACTAAAAAAGAGAAATTTTTACTCATTATAGGCTAATTGCTCTATTCAGGGGTTTGCCACTAATCAAAGCAGAAACTGAAAGCAGAACTGTAATACAAACATGTTATAACAGGAGAATTTTTACTCCCAAAATGTTAAGACAATTCAGTTTTCTGAATGGTGTGCCTGTGTATTTCATAAATATACAAGCACATTTTTAAAAAGACTAAAATCTGTGAACACTGAGATAGCCATGATCCCCACCAAACATTTCTTCTGAACTTAGAAATGGGTAAAATAATAATAATGAAAAAATGTACCCAGCAGAATGCTCATTAAGAAAAGTCCAGAACTGTTGTAACTTCTCTTTGTCGTGGATCAGGTCAGATAGTTGAGGATATGCCAATTCTTTCGGAACTTGACACAAGTCTTCTTTGAGAGCATCAGGGCAGGATGGCAGACCACTGTCAGCAACAGTACTCTGAGGGAAGAAATTACTTCACTTGCATAACTGCTTTTTTCATGCCTGTATTTTGCTCAGTCTAATAATCCTTGCATTAGATAACTTCTGACTCTTTTTGACTGCTAAGAAAATAAATTGAGTTAAGGCTCCAGCTCTTAATCACCTTTAGTTTTATGTTTGCTTTAAACATACCAGTGTGTGCAGATTCCATAATCAAATAAACCAATATATACCTGTAATTTACTTGAAATTGAGGTATTTGCTCAAGATTAAGGGCCCAAAATACATTCCACAGACTTCAGTGGAAACTATCTCATTGACTCCAATCATACAGTGGTCTGACATTGATATAACTGACAGAATACCTGTATTGGTAATTAACACAATGGCTGTCAATCATTCCCCAAAATGAATCATAGAAATTGGACCACTTGGTTCTCCAAACTGGGGTGTAGTCGGTCTTTGCTGATACGCAAAGTGTTAACCCTCTCTGATATAAAAAGAGTTTGCTTTTGTTAGTAGGTACTTGTCTTACCTCATCCTTCTTGGAACCACTCTCTTGATGCAAAGCCTGGAGCTTTCTAAAGTACACGGAGTCCAGCTGTCGAGTTTCTTCCACCAACTCCACCTAATAAAAATATCTTATGTCATCCCTACAGTACACATTATAGAAAGATGGAGAACTGGACGGGCACCTTGCCAGTGACAGTGGATAGAAAGAGAAAAAAGAATACATTTGCCAGTAACGAGACTGATGTTTAGAAGACACTAGAAGCCACATCCTTGTGACAATCAATTCAGTTAAAAGCTCTGGCAGAACAAAATTTTCAGATCTGTGTAGGATCACATATAGATTTCTGCAGAACACCACTAAATAACCTAACTGTATCTTTAAGAAAAGAACTTTGTATTTAAAAAAATTGCTAAATTATATTGTGTATATTGTGTCAGACTTACCTGATTGCCTATACCAGCAAATTGTGTGTCAAAATACCACTGAGAAGCCGAAAAACAGGTCTTAAAACTATGACTCTCAGTGGGAAATGTCAAAAAGATAGAGTGCCACAGATTTCCAGATATGGAAATTTAAGACAAGAAAGATGCTATGATATCTAAACAATAAATGTGAAAACTTTCGGACTTGTCCCCTTCCTTAGTTTTATACCAGGTAATGCCTTAAAAGAATAAATTGTGCACGATTAGAATTCATGAAGTATTGGCATTTTTAAACTTAATTAGAAACCTCATGTATATAACTAGAGCAGTTCTCCGTGTTATGTGCAAAAAATCGGCAACTGCATAAGGAATAGTTTGGTGACCTTCCTGGCTGACTAAACCATTCAAATGCAGGGTTTAGGATATTTAGCAAAATTGAGCCAATGAGTTATACTGATTAGCACGCCCATTACAAAGATTAGAAAGCTGTGGTCTTATTGTACAAGAGTTTATGTGCAAGAGAAAGAAGAGAGTTTTTAGACTGATATTCATTACGCTTTTGTCTAAATGTGAATACCACACTAATCACCGTGTTATCTGAATGCCTTCAGGCTCAGTGTAACTCTATTCCACTGTTATAAAGTGCTTTTGGGTATTCTTTCCTTTAAAAGAAAATGTAGTTTAAAAGTAAATAGGAAAATAATTCAGAACATTTTTCATAAAGTTTAAACAGAAAGCAGATAGAGGCAGGATGAGAGTAAACAATAAAAAAGAACTCTCCTGTTTTCATGTTTTGTTTAAAGAAAAAAATGTAGATATTTACTGATCATGTCCCAAATAAACAATTTTGGACTCACCTAATTCTTGATAAAATATCTTGTTTCGTTATGGGCCAAATATATCCTGCTGTATGGTAGAACAAAGGGGAAGAGTAGAGCCAGGGACGGTACAAAATACAAAGCAGACCTTGTCTATGTGCTGGGAAGGAGTGTGCCTAAGCATCAGCCTGCGCCTAGTACAAAGAGACTCTAGTGCCTCCTAGAACAGGTCGGTTTATGTCTGTGTATTATAACTTTGCACAAACGCATGTATTGTGCACTCAAAAGGATTTAGTTCTGGTTTTTCGTGCTCTGATTAAGATGTTTGTGTTATTAGGGCACTAAGAAGTCTGCACGTAACTACACTTGCAAAGAAAAGCATCGCCTAAACTGAAAGGGCAATAGATTATCCCTCAGTTAACTCACGGAGGTATAAACTGACGCACGCATTAACTTAAAGCTAAACTGTATTTTCAGTTCTTTCTTTGGAGGAATTCTTCCATCACTAGAAGCAATGAAAACACTGTATTCAGAGAGTGCTCAAAAGCAGAGTCTTTTTTATAGAAAAATGATGTATAATAATCGGCTGAGTCAATGACTCGACTCAGTGAGGACTGGCTATAGATACTAGACAACTAGTATTGATAATACACATGGAAAATGTACGTTTGCAAAAGACTGTAAAACTAGTCTGATAGAAAGTAAATAAAATTTCAGATTAATGAAAGCATCAATCCATCAAATGGTGTTCTGCAGGTCATAAACAATTATAGCTGAAATAGCTTATAAAAAATAGCTTAGAAAAAATGGTTTATCTGAAAGCTTAGAAAAGATGCTGAAAAGTGAAAAGAATATTTTGCAGATGTGTTTGGATTAGTATATTTCATTTTAGTAAGTTTTTTTCAGTGTTCAAACTTTGAAAGTTTCCTAAGGAAATTAAATTATCACAGGATAAGAGGGAAGGTCCCCTTGTGAATTAATTAGAAGGTGGAAAATAAGAAATAAAGAAATAAATAACTTTCATTATGGGGTGGGGTTCCTATTGGAGTCTCACAGGGATCTGCGCTGAGGTTGTTTTTTTAAACATTCAGAAATTATCTGGAAAAGGAGGTGAGTGAGGAGACAACAAAGTTTTGGCAAAATGATTCCATAGAGCAAAAAATTAAAGTGACTGTTAAGAGCTGCATGATTTCAGGACGCTTTATCGTCTGCATGATAAAAGCGCAGCTGAATTCAACGACAATAAACATTAAGTCATTCCAGTGAGCTCCAAATTAGGGCTTTCCATTAGTTGTTATTACTTAGTAACGAGATCTGGGAATTATTGCAGATGGCTAGTAGCTTACATTTTGCACATCCACTCAAAGTTCACCAGGAGTCAAAAGGCAATTAGAATTATAGAAACAATTAGGAAAGGAGCAAAGAGCAAAACAGAAAACATGATTCTGCCACTGGATAATCCTTAGTGCATCCAGATCTTGAGTACTGCTTGCATCTTGTCAAAAGAATATAAAACAACAGATACAGATGAGGCTGATAAGTTTAACAAAGGCATGGAACGCCTTTTGTAAAAGGAGAGGTCAAATAGTGTAGGATTCTTGAGTTTCAAAGAGATGGAATTGAAGTGGGATACAACAGAAACATATAAAAGCATAACAACATTGAGAATATGACAAGATAACAATTGTTCCCTGTTCCTCATGACATACAAAACTAGGGCACCAGGTGAAATTACCAGGGAGGGGTTTGCAAACAAAGATAAGCATTTCTTTCTCCTATTGCATGATTAAACCATGGAACCCACTACTACAGTGAGGCTGAAGATATAAAATAACTCAAGACACACTTACATAAACCCGTGGGGGAAAAAAAACTCATCAAAGACTATCAAACACAAAAGTGTGGATAAGACCTCCGCTCATGAACCTCCTCAGTTGCAAAGTGCTGAAGCTGGAAATACTGCTGTATCAGGTTTTTTCTGTTCTTTTACTCTATTCTTGAGTGTTTAATACTGGCCACCACCAAATAGGCTTAGAAGATCATTCTCAACTTTCATTTTAGGTATCTGTTCTCCTAGTTGTTCATACATGCATGCATGTTATAGTAACAAAAATACACTGTATTACAAAACTTCTGCAAAAGGATTTAAAAATGTTTTGTGGGGAACATCGCATGCATGTTCTCATTACATGTTGACAGAATTATCAGCAGTAAGTGATGATATTTCCTGTAAAAACTGAGATGCTTCATGTAAGGTCATTGTGGAGAAAACCAGGAACAAGAACTAACTTCCTGCCCTCCAACTCCTGATTCCTTGTTGTCAGTTTCTCCTTCCATATCCAAGAGGGAGATGTTAAAGACTTGGAATTAGAAGTTTGGACTATAGCTGGTAACTTGTAGGTAAGTATACAAAGAGCAGAGAGCCACAGCATCCGCCTCTGCCTCCTCCGTTTCTTGTTCTTATTTGTCAAAAGCAGAGTCAGGACTGCAGTCATCTCTGACCTGCATGAGCCTGCTCAGTTCAAGCTTTCAGAGGCTTTCTGGGATTAGAACCGAGTAGACCTACTTCAGGAAGCCTGCAGGGCACAGTTAGCCCTTACACAGCAGGGCAGCTATCTAAAAAGTGTTTGGGGAAAATATAGGTGGATCACACTATCACATTCCCTCTTATGCTAGTCAGTAGCTACACTTGAATTCTAAACACCAAGAAATACTTGATATAATTAATATGGACTAAGAATCACTGTACTGACACTAGAAACGCAGCTTATTTTGTGCTTATCATTAAAAACATAGGAGGCTTGTGGGCAATCCATCATTAGAAAATTACTTTTGATCAATGGTAAGACTGCAGAAACATAACACTTCCTGAGTGCAAAGGGAAGTTTTGCCATAGCAGGATGGATTCTTTCCTAACTCACAGACCAAGGGGTCTATGAAGCCTGAACCGTCCTTTGGGACAGGAAGTCTGCTCTCCACAGGAAGCTCAGCCTACTCCACGTCATCAGCATAGAAAGGAGTGAGTGAACAAAACATCCCATAATACTTCTCACTTCCTGACTATAAATGTGAAATTGGTTGCATATGAAGGCTTTTGTGATTTTCTTCCCTGACATAGGAATTTTTCACGGTGTCATCCAGATCAGTTACCTTTCCATAAGTGTGTTTGTCTGCTTCCACCATCTTCATCCACGGTTCTAGCAGAACAGTGAGGATGTATTCTTCAGCTGGGTCAAAAAGATCCTCAAAAGCTGGGTCAATTTTCTGATAAATAATGTTTTTCTTACTCTGATGAAGTCCAATGTCCATACTGGCAGATGGGGCAATGTAAGTTGCATAAAGGAACTAAAATAAACCAGAAAAAAACCTGTTTTTTAGCCATCGTCCATTCCAGGGGTCACAGTCCATTGAAGGAGAGAATGAATGCATATTTGGCCCCCACTGCCCTGCTGTATATTCTGAACATATATCTAATTACACCTGCTTTTTTTTTACCAATATGACTATTTTGTCCAAAATTCAGTTATTGCCATAACTGACCTCCCTGCCATTTTTACTCCTACTTGTTAAAATGGATAGATCATAAAATAATGCTTAATGTAATTTCTGCTTGGAGATATTTGGCTAATTCTTAGTTAGATTCAGATAACCACAATATCCTGGTTTGAGTGACACAGGACTAATTTCTATTCTAATACTTGGGAAGACTGCACTTTTAGAAGACTCCAGTGTCTGAATTTGTGAAAATATTTACAGCCAGCTATGGTGCATGGCTCTCAAGGTCTCAGTGTTTTCGGGCTTGCCAGGTGCAGGGGTGAGGAGGAGCAAGACCCAGGTACTTGACCCAAGCTGGCCAACAGGATTATTTCATACCATCAGCATCACATTCACTATAAATTAGAAAGTTTGCTGCGAAGTTCTCTCTCTCCCTTGATGGCTGCCATCCTCAGAACTTCGTGCCCTGGTGCCGGACTCCTAAGGCCTTCCCCTCCCCCTGAAGCTCTAGCACTCGCAGTGTCCGACATTTGCTGTCCACTGCTGGGAGTGCACAGCTTCCTACTGATTTAATTGTCTGAGTATAATCTTTGCATATTCTGTATTGGTGTCGGGATCAATATCGGTTCTTTAGTACTGTTAATTATCTCAGATGTTAAGTATCTAATCTTATTCTATTAAATCTGTTTATACTTCAGCTCCCGCGTTTCCTTGCTTTTCCCTGATTCCCCTTCCCGGGTGGGGAGGGGTCATCGGGTGATAGAATGATTGTCTAAACGACAACAAATTGTTATGGGTCTCTCAAACCATAACACACAATCATTACAGCAACTGCATTCTTCATGAAGTTGCATTGTTGCTTTGCAGAATATGTGCTGGGCCAACTTGGGAAGGAGTCTTACTTCTTCTGAATAAAGAGAATTTGTAAATTTAAGTTTAAAATTAGTGAAAAAATATAAGATTTCATTCTGTGTGGAGATTCTTTTGCACAGTTCTTTGACATTGGTGAGACTCCATCATGGTACAGGATCCGGAAAAGGAGATACCACTGTACAACCGAGGGCTAAATCATTACCAAAGCAAGGATTACAATATGCTTTTTTATGAAGCACGGAGTTTGCCATTCAACATATACAAACAGAAGAAAGCTGAACCTGGAGAACGTTTCCTTCTCCCTAGCAGCTCATTCTTGAAGCATAAAGTAATTTTTTTATTTATTTCAAAGGCTTTTTTTTTTCCAAATAGTCCCCTAAGTAAAATTCCTGGGTTTTTTAAATGTTTCATAAATTGCCATGAAAAAGGACCTTGAAAACTCAGAGAAAAACACTTTCTTCCAGGAATATCTTGGAAGAAGATATTTCAGAATATCTTTCTAATACATCATGATTCTGACTTCAGCTAGGAGCTCAAGTGAAAAAATATAAATAAATTTCATGTATTTATAAATGTTTTCTCTTCTTCATATTGTCAAAGTCCAACTAATTTTCAAGCATATGGTAAGGGGATCAGATTAGGAGCATAAATCAGAATTCCTCTCTAGGATGGCACTGAGGAGCCCATCTTCACTATTTATTATCAAACAATTTTGACAATGAAGAATGCAGGTTTGTGATAATTCTCATTTTCCTTATGTTGCTGAAATCCAGCTGTAACTAGCAGATGTACAAAGCAGTAGAAAAGAAGAAAATAATACATTTACTCTGTGTTCAATCAGTAATAAAACAGTGTTGTGTTTAGATTTCAAGCACAGTGGGAGAATGTTTGAGTACATTAAATAATTATGTTTCTGTTTGTTTTAAATGAAATTCTGATTTATTAGATTCTTTCTTTCAAACAGCAACTGTACCAGACTACACCCCCATTATTTGGGACCTTAACAATTTGAAACAGACCTTTTAGACTATCCTGATATCAGGTCACTGAGGAATACAGGGCTATGATGGCTGACATAATCCCCCCAGTTAGTACTTGTTATGAATACTATATATTCATACATATGAATATATAGTATTCATAGGTATATGAATACTATATACGTGTACTCTTTGTAGGATTCCACCCATTTTCTACATAGATCTAATAACTGAAAACAAAGATGGTTTGTGGCTATTGCAGCCCACATTATCAGTGCAGTAAAGACCCCCAAGTATAAGGGTACAGTCAAAGAATGAGGACATCCACAGAAAGAGTCCTAGCTGAAGAACAAGACCACATTTTTCTGAAATTATGCCCTTCTCAGCAAGTCCCCAAATATATTTAAATTTGACAGAGGTGGCATTAATTAGATTCATAATGATTTCAGAAGTTGGAAGTTATTTTGAAGACCCCTAATACTAGTAAAGTTTCAGTTACGTCATGTTCTAGTCTGATCCAAAACATTTAACATATAAAGTAGCCAAATTAGAAGGGACTAGTCCAATGATATAAAGATGTGGTATCTTTAAAAATAGTCTTTTTAAAGAGGGGTTAAACATTTTATTCATCATTAGGGCTACACTGCTCCACCTGCTATGACTCATAAAACCACACAAGGGATCTGTAAATTGCTGAAAAGTGACCAAAATATGTCCTCAATATTTTAACACACATTTAACCTGGTTCCTTAAATGGGTGATCATTTTTAGCATAGTTTTAAGAACAATATCAAAACAAACACTCCTCCAGTTGCTTGGGTGGAACTCTGCTTTCCCCCATGATTTTGTATGAAATGGGTTAACTTGAGTATATTTGCTATTCTTCTTTAGAGATGACAAAAAAATAGCAGCCTACAGAGTCAGAAATTGGCCAGGCTAAGGAAGCTTTGACCAAAAACTATTGACAATCTGCTCACATAAACACTGTCATAATATCTTGCCATGTTAGGGACTGCCTTTGCAAGCTGCTCTACCTGCAGAACTGCCCCCAGTCCTGTATAATTTCTCATGCAAAACTGGATTATAGTAAAGACAGACATTTTTTTCCAGAAACAATAGTTATGGCTGGTAATACACGCGAAGCAGAAATTTACAGGTGGTTAAGCTAGCTGTAGCAGTGCACTTTTCCAAACTCAAGGGACCAGACCCTCAGTGCTGTAGCCACTATGGCCTCTTCACTTCTGAAGGATGCAAATTTACAGTGTCTGAGGATTTGGGATGATGTTTTCTTAAATTCTTGTAAGAATCCATTGCTATGTGATTTGACTCAACAAGTGAAAAGATAGCAAGCATCACAATATGACAAAGTGAATGCATGCACTTGCAGGGAGGAGAGAAATGAGAAGGAGCTTTCATCCCTGTGTTCCTTGCTGAGGGTCCACACGCATCTGTAGATCTGCACTGATTTGAATGCAAGGGCTGCAGGAAAACCAACTGTGGAGAGTTCTAGACATGCCAAAAAAGAGTAAAAGTGTCTGTGTTCACATCTTTCAACAGTGGGCAAAGAAGTCAGCAAGATATAAGGGGAAAATACATTGTATCGATTAAAAAGAAATATTCATAGCCTTTTTTGACTCCCATGTCATTGAAGCCTTGTGGTTTTATGAATCTCAGTGGAATAGTGAAACTGTTGTATTTGCAAACCTCCTAAAGGATCAACAGGAAAAATTACATTTAATGAACTTAACGGTTATCAAATTCATACAAAAATCTTAAGCATGTGACATCAAGTGCACATCATACTTAATGTATTCAATGTTTTGTTCCTTTTGTAAAACACAAATAGTTCTCCTAACTGCCAGCTATACGTTTTCCTATAAATCATAGAATGGTTTAGGTTGGAAGGGACCTTGAAGATCATCAAGTTCCAACCCCCCTGCCATAGGCAGGAAAATGTATTAGAATACGTGATGGATTGAACCCCAAACCCTATCTGGAAATTTGGTCAGAGTTTGCATTTTGAAATTACTCATAATGGCACAAATCTGAAGACAGAAAGTGCTTAGGAAATTCAGATTAAGACTTTGTCCTTATTTATGACTTTCCAAATCAGGGATTGTTCAAGGCTTTTGGTGTGAATTCATCCCCAAATGAGAAGGCCTTGGTAGGCACTCTCATAATGACTAGAGTGAAGCAAGAAACATGAAAAAGATTTAAGTCCAAATGCTTTGTATTGCTGCCCAAAGGCATGGATACTGTTCTGATCTAAATGAGGGGCTTGTGCAGCTGCTTGACAGGATCATATGATGGAAGAATACAATGCGCTGGCTGGTCTTAAATGGAAAGGCTGAACTGCCTTAACCCCTATCATCACTTTCCACTCACATAAATCTTGTGACTGACCCTAAAAGTTCACAGTAATGATAACTCCCTTTATCTAAATTGATTCTAGTGTTAAAATATTGTACTTCCCATAACTGTATTAGCTTTCCTAACTCTAAATAACTATTTTTTAATCAAAAACTACAATATGTATTTCTTTATTGCTTTTCTTTCTCAATTTATTTTACACTTCTGTATGTATGTTTATAATGAATAACCGTATATGTTCCTGGATGATTACCGGTACTCATCATTTTTCTTGTTCATCAGACTTCATTCTCATTGTAATTTCTTTCCCTGGATGAATGAATATACACCTTGGAATGCATTTTCTTACTCTGTCATAAAGCTGAGATAAAAATGCCTAACAAATGAAACAATGAGTAGCAGATAGACAGCAATCCAGGTTTGCTCTTGTTTCTAACAGGAAGCAGGCAGAACACATACAGAATACTTTGGATGTCTCTTTCTGTAATAAATAGCAAAATATATATGACGATGTGTTGTGCAAATCTGATCCACATTCTCTTAGGAGTATTTGGAATGACTATCTTATTGTGCCAAAGGTGAGCACAGAATTTGGGAAGCCATCTCTTCCATAAGCAAACCCTGTAGATTGGATGCAGCTTGACTCTTTACCATGTTCCAATGAAAACAAGAATAATTTTTGTGCAGCCTTAAAAGGCAAGCTTGAGAATGATACCAAATGTTGCAGCACATGTGTTGATTTGTTATGTTACATTTCAGCTGTTAGTTATGCTAATGGAACAGTTTCACATATTTCGTTTTGATGTATTTACTTTAATGGCTATGTGTATGTAGCTCTCCGCAATTGCCTGGTAACACTGATTGTACGATGTTATGCTGTCACCACCAGGCCAGCAGTGGAAATAAGATAAGAAAAGTAGAAAATGACCTGGACCATAATTTTCAGCCATGCAACCACTGCAGAAAGTGTAAACTGGTGTGAAATGAAACCAAATTGAAAACTACCACAGACCACGACCTAAGACTTGGCCTGCAACAAAACGTATAGGAAAGTAAAGATACAGTCTAGATACGGTTCACTTGCACGCCTGTTGTGAGCGGGGTCCCTAGCCACACACAGGCCTGCGTAGGTACGGGAGACAGTCAGCCTGATGGGTACAGTCAGTTGCTCTCAGCCTGTTAGTAGAGCTGGAGGGGAAAACAACTACCCTAGTAGCAGTTCAAGTTAGCCAGTGTGTGACAGAAAAGAGGGAGGAATCGGTGCCTTGGCCTCTGCGTGGAGTTTCTGTGCAAATAACACAATTCAGGTGAGAATTCTGGACAAATATGCAAAATTCTGTCAGTAAAACCTCCAAGTAGGAAAAGAAGACAAATTCAAGGAAGTCCAGATGCTCAGTAACATAAGCTGTAAACAGAGATTATTCTCCACTCCCCTCTACAGATACTTGTTCCAACAACATGTGAAGTAGCTTTGCTCTATTACAGCATATATTGAAATATGCAGATAGGATATACTCCAACACAAGGTTTTACAGAGGAAAAACAGAACAAAGTTTCACAAAGTGATTTTAAAAGTTGCTTGGAGTTCTTCTAATTATATCACACTGCTGCAGCCTCCTTCCCTGGCAGTATTGGACTATTCTGCAGTTGGTGACAGCCATCAGCACCCATGTGGTGAACCAGTTCACTTTTGTTTTATTCCCTGACTTAAAGTGCATGCTTAATTAAGAATGCTCGTTTATAGGAAATATCAGTTCCGCTTGACAGTAAATGAGGGTCTAAAGATCAAATGGGGGAATGACAACTGCGAAAAGAGCTTAATGATGCGCTGACAATCAGTAAAAGAAAAATGGGACTGACAACTGAAAGATCCATTTTCATGGGGGTCTGGACTGTGAGACTTGCAATTGTAACCCACACAGGAGATGGAAGGAAAGGTAGAGCACAATTAGATGATTTAGAAAAAATATTATCTCTGATGTTAACACTAAGCAGACAGTTTCCAAATATGACACAGAGTAGCAAAGGGGAGATTAGGCAAACTGAGTTTAATAGATAAAACTGGGAACAGGCAACAGAGCCTAGAAATCAATCTATGCATGTTCAACATTTAAGTAAAGAAATTCCATGGAAACAATCCAAAGAGGTTCTTTTATTGTCCACAACCCAGATTTACTTTGGTGTGGGTTGTCAAGATTTGGAAACTTTTCTACTTTCTATCTTCTTTTCAGTCTTTACACTGAACAAATGTATTTGTGAGAGGAATGAACAAATGTATTTGTGAAGGGAAAACACATTATTTACAACTTACTTGAGCTTGCTTGCGTATTTTAAAAGGATGAACAGTTTCTTGGTAGAAAAGCTGATGATAAGCCTGTAGGTCAAACCAAAAGTACGCACTGTTCTTCCACAACTAGAGATGAAAAATATTGTAAGTTATTGCTACCCAAATATCACAGCTTTATAAAAGGTTGACTTTTCAATGCAAGTAATTGTTTAGCTCCTTGGAGTCATCATAAATCAAGCACAATTTAAGACGGATTTAATCTCCTGTTGCATACTGGCAGAAGGACAACATATTTAATGGCATCGTCACTGTGATACTGTATCTTTTATTGTATTCTTTATGCATAATTGGCCATTAAAATTGTTAACATACTAGTTAACATTTGAAGACTAACCACATTTCAGTGGCATAAAGCCAGTACTAAAGAAGAAATGCTGATAATGGACATGCAGAATTTGTGCCATGGTGAAATAGCATTTTGCAGCAATAACCAAAACAATTAAATATTGTGTACTTGACTAATGTTACTGGGACTATCATTACATTTTTATTACATGCATTTCTAAGGCACAGAATATTGGCCTCGTTTCATAAATTCAAACAAACATCAAAGATCTTTCAGAAGAAGGAGTATAGATCTTTCCCCAAGTCTTCTGGTTTAGTCATGTGCTTACGGGGTTTGGATCTTAAAAATACCCTGAAACCCCCATCACTGGAGAATAAAGAAAGTGTTCCAAAAAGATAGGGGCAGGGAACTTTGCTCCACAAACTGTAGCCTGCCAGACCTGGCATATGAGTGAAATAGGCTCCACAGTTGTAGACAAAACCTTAAGGAAATAATTTTCAAAGGAGTCTGGCACCTGCAAAGGCTAGAGGACATGTGGGTGGGTGCGTATCTCCAATGAAAAAATAAGTTACTTTTATTTAGATTTCTGTCTATATACATTTAACATTTTTAGCTGAAGGTATTTAGCTTTGGAAACATTGGCTCTTGCCTTCTGGTAGCCAAAGGCATTTCCAGCTACTGCTGCTGGATTCTGGGTTGTGCCAGTGGTGAAACAGATGTCCATGTTGATTGCATTCAAATCTCCCCTAAAGACTCAATTTTTCTGCAAAGCCACTAAACAGTGACTCAGATTCATAACTTGTTCCAACCAATCCTCAATTTACACCCAGCAATGAATGATGGATCTGCTGACTGAAGACAAGAAATAGTGTTATGTTTCTCAGAAATACAAGAAGCTTCGTGGAAGCAGAAGAACGTTTTTAAAACATTGGAGATTTTGGACATCACTAACCCAACAAGTAAGAAGGAGGCAGATTATCATGAGTAATAGCATAGTGGATTTTCCATCTTTTTAAAAAATGTTTTTGTGGGTTAAGACCTCATTTTTTCTGCCAAGTTAAAGGCTAGTTTTTAAAAACGATTAGTCTTTTTTTATCCCTGATGGCACAATCAGATTTCTGATAGGTTTGAGACAGTTAGGATCTGACAGCTTGGTAAAGACCTGTCATTAGTTTGAATATACACATGAACAGTTTATTGTTGTTGAGGGATTGGAGTCTCACAAGTAATAATTCATCCAGTCATCAATCTTTCTTTCTCCATTTTTTTTTTTTTAGTCTGGCTGCCCTCTATAACTTGGCATTCAGTCAATTGTGGACTAAATTATCACAGGGTAGGAAAATGCTCATACCTTATTCCCTGACTTCTCACAGAAGTGTGTGAAGTAGTAGCCTGCTCTGTTCTCCAAATAAAGAGACTGCAGCATGCTTTCCATTCTTGATCCCCCTAAGACAACACTGCCAGCAGCACTTTTCCCCTGGACAAATAAAATATAGTTATACAGCAAGGAATAATAGGCTTTCATTATTTTCAAATGTCAGTACACTGCAATGAAGGGCCATGCAGTGTGTTCAATTAGTGTCTTCATCCCAAGAAACTACACTCCATTTTCTACTACATATGCAATTGATCATAGCTCTCCATACCATTTTCCCACTAAATATTCACATCCAGTGGAATAAGTCTGATGACTGAAGGCATGCAGAGTAGCAAAATGACCATAGCCTCCCTTAGGTGGTTCCTCAATACTTGAAACAGGAAAACAAACCAGACCTTAATTCTGTCATTAACTCCTTAGCTCCAAATAGGGGGAATTCCAATGATACTAAATCATATCGCTTAGCTGTCAAAAGTTGTCTCAACTCAGGCTACTGTTGTTTGAACCAAGAGAAGTTAACAGGTGGGTATTTGGTCAAGCCTCAAAACAATTAACTGTTGTGGAACAGAAGATATGTCTCCTGGGGTTACACCACTGACATCAGCATCAAAATCAAGAGCATCTTAGGGGAGAGGAAACCCATGCCCTTTACTGTGGCTAGCCCATGGAGCGTTTGGGGAAGAATACATCCATTTTGACAAAGCTCACCAAGAAACCAGAGGAGGGTACTAACTAATGAATTAGCTTCTGATGTTCACAAAAAAGAAACTTTTGCTGACTTGCCATCTCTGGTAGCAGAAGGGGGAGCAAATGAGTGTGGTGGGTGACAACTAGATTCTTTCCAAACAATAACAGGGATGGAGAAGGGCAGGAGAAAGCCAGACGGTCTGAAGCAGAGCAGGAAGATTCCACTCCTCAGTATGAAGTTAAACTATGGATCCCCACATTCCCATTTGTATCATATTTGTGATGGCAAATTGTGGGGTCCTGACTGTACATTCCAGTCTAGCCCTGTAAGTGTAAATGGATAGTATTTTCCTCCCTCAGCCAGAGGGAAACTCTGCATGATAAAGGCATATAATAGTTCATGGTGTGAACATTTCCTTAACATAAGTTTCTGACTGCAAATGTCCCCTAATTGCAAAGACTAGCCTTTTTTTCTGTCAAAATTAACAAAGTAAAATGATCATAGTGAAAAAATAAACGAGGTATGATTTTGATGTGAAAAACAAGTGATCAGCAAACTCCATGCATACCTAAACAGGCACAGCTTTCATAACACATTGGTTTTTTTTAGTTGTGAGGCCATGGGTATCAATACCTCAGTGAAACAGCAGGCTGTTTCAAGGCCATTCCACAAACATGAAAAGTTTCAGATATATTTTAAATTGCCAAATCTTGACATCTCATGTGTTCGATTTGTCAGCATTTTAACCATTATTGAGAAAAGGCTCTTCTGTGCAGCCTGTCCCTCCTGAGGTTTGCTGGATTGAGGGTCTGCTTAGCAGGCAATAATTCAACAAAGAATGAAGTACACAAGCAATAAAGAGGAATTGTGTAAGTAAGTGAAGCATTTTCCTCTTATGAATGTTACTATTTTAATGACTTTCTAGGACAGATTCAGTTTTCACTGTAAGTCTGGTATACTTTCCTAGGCAACAATTCCACTGAAGTATTTATTCAATGAGTTTTCCATAATAGCCTACTGAACACACAGTCACATGGAGAAGATCAACACTTTGTAGTGAAAATAAACCTCTCTATGAGCCATGATTTCCTATCAAATAGGTGACAGATACCACACAGAAAATACTGACATTCTAATTGTACCTCTGTGTATGGCATTGACATTCACATAATCAAACCAATTGCTCCCCATCATTGACTACTTCCCCTTTGATACTACAGAATAGAGTGTTTTAACCCATGATTCAAGACAACTAAAATTTTCAAGGACTACTTACCGGGAGCAGCTCAGCATAGGTGTACTTTCTGTGACCCTGGTATTTTGAGTCTTTGCTGTCATCCAAAGCTAAGCAATGAGTCATATCTCTTCTCGCTGACTTTAGCCTAGAACCACAAACAAACAAAATTTTCAATACCTATTTAAGAAAGAAGTAGGACTGCTTATAAAATAAACAGCTGAGAAGGGGCATCAGAGAGGTAGAATGACATAGGGAATAGTAGAGGAAAAAGTACATGGAGTTCAAATTTATAATAAATGCAAAAAATGTAGAGGAATACTTTTACATGTGGCCCTGTGGAAATCACTGCAACAGCATATCTTTGAGGGCAAGTGCTTGAGACAGGTTAAAAGAATAGAAATGTATGTAGATAATATCAACAATTATACAAGAGAAGGTAAAACACCTGTAATTGGAGAAATAAACCCTTTTGTGTTGTGGCACAAACAAATGAGAAACTAATCAGGCAGGGAGGAACTCTCCATGCACACAATCCGTACCATAACAATGCTTCACTAAGCAGCTGATTATATTAAAGAAAAGCATTCATGAAAACAGTAGGATCTAAAAGCTTTTCATAAATATTTGAGGTATATTGATGTGCAAAAAGATGTATAAGGGACTTTGGTACTTACCACTTTCTACTGCTAGAAATGTCATCCCTTTGGGGGCTCTGACTTGGTGGCAGGGTAGGTGGTAATTTTGATAATCTCTTCAAAGAGGAATTTGGTGTATCTAGTTTTAATGAAGTTGTTGGTGAGCTTGTTCTACTTTTCTAAAAGACATAACAGAAATATAGGGCAATTCTGATTATTTTTCCATCTTTGTGTTTTCTTAACATGTTCTTATTAACTACTCAAAAACATTCAAGAGTTGTCAGGACTATTTTTCCTTGTCAATCACAATATGTAAAACAGCAAATTGCAAAAGCTTCTCTGAATATATTGCAAGATTTTTCAGCACACCTTTATAACCTCTATAGCTTAAAAATTACATTTTTAACAGGTAGAAATGTTACACGCACTTTGTACAAAATTACAGAGGATGTCAGGTGAAGAGGATGTGAACATATTTTGTGAATCTTTATTAAGATTACCTGAAGAAGGTCACTGTAAGACAGATACAATCACCCAGACTAGGAGAGAAAGGGGGCATTCTGCCACACCATCACTAACTTATTTTGAACAAAATCACACTATGACTTTTTGGAGACACCAGTTGCATTCAGAGTGCCCTCACAAATTCAGAGTTGCTGCTCTTTCTAAGCTCTTGCAAGCACAGTGAAACTCAGTGGAAGATTCAAAAGTACACATTTCTCACAAAAAAAAAAAAAAAAAGAAGAACAAAAAAAGCAGCAAGGAATGGTCCATCAGCTGTGAGGTTCATGGGTGCCAGGTCATAGTTTTCTTCAAGTGCTGAACTCCATAGGGCTGGAAAACCTGCAAAGTTAGAATCCTGTCTGCCTGACCTACAGCTACTCCTGGATCATTAGCACACCTTGTGAAGCCAGAATGGATCTCTGTAAGAAGCAGCTGCTTCTGGTTCCCCTTCCTGCTGTGA